CACCCCCCCCCCCGAACAGAACCCCCCGCCCCCCCCCCCCCCCCCCCCCCCCCCCCCCCCCCCAGTGGGAGGGGGGAGAGAATTGGGGGGAAAAAAAGTAAAACTCATGGGTTGAGATAAGAACAGTTTAATAGAACAGAAAGGAAGAAAATAATAATGATAATGATAGCAATATTAAAATGACAATAATAATAATAAAAGGATTGGAATATGCAAGTGATGCAGAATGCAATTGCTCACCACTCGCCGACCAACAGCCAGGTAGTTCCCGAGCACCAATTACCCCCAGCCCCATTCCCCCCAGTTTATATACTGGACATAACGTTACATTGTATGGAATATCCCTTTGGCCAGTTTGGGTCAGCTGCCCTGGCTGTGTCCCCTCCCGACTTCTTGTGCCCCTCCAGCCTTCTTGCTGGTTGGGCATGAGAAGCTGAGAAATCCTTGACTTAGTCTAAACACTACTTAGCAACAACTGAAAACATCAGTGTGTTATCAACATTCTCATACTGAACCCAAAACATAACAACACTATACTAGCTACTAGAAAGAAGATTAACTCTATCCCAGCCAAAACCAGGACACCAACACAGATCACTCACACAAGTAGAAATATGCTAATAAGGTATGGAAACAAATACAAGATTCCTGTAAAAAATCAGTAATGGGGTGAGATTTGTTGGTCACAGGATGACCTACAGTAATATTTGGTGACAACAGTAGTATAACAGTATTCAAAATCGATGTTGTCTTTGCTGCAAAGTTCTCATCAAAATGTTTAATGCCTTTGTATGAATAAAGGCAAAGAAGTCTGTATTGCATCCTACAGAGCTGATACAACTTTCTTTTGCTGAACAGAGGATAACGTACAGAAAAAGGAACTGGAGAGGGTATCAAGGCTCAGCACACAGTGTCCAGAGGGACTTCCCGTTGGCAATCATCACAGTGGTTAGGATGCTTATGAAGTCCAAAGCTAGTAGAAGTAGTAAGGCAGCTACTGCTGCAGTAGTGGTCACAAGTCAAATCTAACTTTGTTGCAAAATCTGTGGGGAAGGCAAGTATGAGGAGCAGATTAACTGCACAGTTCAGAGACAAACCTAACCTAAGACAAAGCTGTAATTGAGCTGCAGATTTGTTGTCAGCTTTGTTTGATCTTCCCAATGATGAAAGAGACAGTCCTGCCCTTCCAAGGTTCTCAGAGCATAAATTTCTACCCTAGTCTTCTTGTCAACAGTAGCAACTACATAGCTATGCAGTAAGAGCACATTGTTTATCAAGCTGAAAACTAATACTTACCCTGTAGGTTAGTTTTCATTTATATCAGTCAGCTGACCCCATACAGTCTCACCATCCTCCTGTTGATGAGGAAAGCATCCTTTAATGACTTCTTTGCAAGCTTTGACCCACTTAAACCAGTGGGAAAGGTGCATGCTGAGATTACATCCAAGGTCTGGATGTAAAAGACACATCTGCACTAACCTAATGGAGTAATTTGCCCTTAAGAATTATTTTACAATTCTTACTGAAACAAAAACCTGCAGTCTTACTGGTTTGAAAGACACATTCAGCTGATCTAGTTTTCGTTCAGAAAAAAAATATCTAAGCCACACACAAGAAAGAATTATTAAAGGAATAAATAATCTTCTTTGGAATACATTCAGCTGAATCTGGATTTATTTAAAATCTAACCATATCTGGTCAGGGAAATGTCTTTGGGGGGGGGGGCTTTTTTTTTTTCTTTTTTACAAGACAGCAGTTTAAAAAAAAAGAAAAAGAAAAGATTATTTCTAAATTGTCTTTATCTTTCCACTACTTCCATCTATTGGCCTTATACCCAAGACCTGACTTAGACCCTATTACAATGAAGAAAGGATACATAAGAATC